AAGATTATCTTTTCCCTGATCAGAAAATTGGCCAGCCACTCAGACAGAGGTGCCCAAGAGTCTTCTTATGGGAACTAACCCACAGATCACAGCCTGGAGCATGATTTTTGGCATCAACTTTTAAAAAACAACAGGTTATTGTTCAAAATGAGTATTCATTTAAATGACTGCTTATCTTCTTCATCATTTTCGTTTTATTATTTATTGGATTTATTTTATCACCAGTTCAGAATTTGGTTTTAGTTCTTGATTCTGAGTTGTAGTAATGTTTAGAAACAGAATTTTGATATTGTTCTTTTGGTTATGCTGGTCAATGAGTGTATTAATAAATTGACTAATTACTTGATTGAGTGAATGCACTTCATAAGAAATAATTAAGAGCTTGGAAAGCTAAGTAAATATGATTGTTGTGAAGAGAACCTCTGGCTTCTTGTTGAATTGGGAACTGTGAGTGGTCTGTGGTTCCTGGAAAAGACTATCAGAGGGCATCAGCTTTGATGGCTACATGCTATCTACATTATGAGACTAAGTATATGTGTGTGTGCATCAGTCGCTGGTGAGCTTGAAAGTGATGAAGCGGTTTACATATGTTCTGTTTGAGGCATGATGATGGAAGCTCGTTTGCCACTGTGTGTATGAAATGCTGCAATACATCAACAATTGGTCTAATACAGCATGACTTTTTCGGTGTTCTTCTGTATTGCTGTTGTCCAACCCATCACGACCCAATGAACAACATTCCGCCAGGCCTTCCTGTCCTCCATCATCCCCTGGAGCCCACTTAAGCTCACGCCAACTGCTTCAGTGACTCCACCTAGCCACCTCATTCTCTGCTGTCCACTTCTACTTTTGCCATCAATTGTTCCCAGCATCAGGCTCTTCTCCAGTGAGTCTTTCCTTCCCATTAGGTGGCCAGAGGATTTGAGTTTCATCTTCAGTATCTGGCCTTCTAAAGAGAAGTCAGGGTTGATTTCCTCTTGGACTGACCAGTTTGATCGCCTTGTGGTCCAAGGGTCTGAACTGCACACTTTGCTTTGGATACCAGTCACTAGCTTGATGGGAGTCATGTATGATAGCAATGATTAGACAGACTATGTCTGACTCAGAGGTGGAGCAAATCATTATTTCTTGGTTCTCCAGTTTATGAGCCTTGAGTTGATTCTGCTCCAGTCTTCATACCAGAATGTATTTTGTTTCTTTATTAAAAGCAAATGCTTTTTGAGCACATTTCCCTAATATATGCCTTTAATGGAATGAGTTTTCTAGGCAATTTTTTTTCCTAATGTCTGAATTGAACAAAGGTAATCATAGCATTATTTCATCTCAACTCATGGTATAGTGAATGGCAATCCCATTGGGTCTAGTTGAAAAGATAGCAGTCAGTTGATTTAATGACTATATGGGAAGGGATCACTCATAATTACAAGAGCTCTTTGGTAACTGTTTATCATGACTCTGCATCTCTTTCCTACTGCTTCTCAGGGTGAGACAGCACAAGTTTGCAAAGATTGGCAGCAAGAAATCTTTTTGGGGTAAAAGTCTTTGTCCTTAGTTGAAGCATCAGCTTTGCACCAGAATACTTTGAGTTACCTCACCAATGGTCCTGTTCAATTCAAGGGGAACAAGGGTTACAGGATAATTATATAAGCAGAATGTTTTGATTCTGGAATGGTGGATCTTCTTCATTCCACCATTTAAGAGGACAAAGACTTCACACTTTTAAGATGTATCTACGTTGAGCTTCTCCTATACCTAAACTATGAATATGAAATAGAAGGAAAGGAAAAGAAAGGAAAGGAAAGGAAAGGAAATTCATTTGCCTTTTCAGACTGGAGGGGTGAACTGGAAGGTGGATTTTTTTCTTTGAGCAGCAATCACAAAAATGAAAAGAGTTGTAGGTTTTGGGAGGAATTTTAGCTGTGATGTTCCATAACCAGTAAATGTGTTTGTTGGTCTACAAATAGCCATGCAACTTTTGTGGCATGTCAAAGCCAGTTTTGAATAGGTCTTCTCAGGCACCCCAAAACCTTGATCCCTGCCCTCCCCTCCCCAGCCATGGCTGTAGACAGCATCATCAGCTGCCCCACTGTGTCACCTCCAGCAGTGACTTCCTTCACCTCTGCCCATGCTGTCATGGATGGATGTTGGTCTTCCAGACATCCCCTCCTTCATGCTGTTAGTGTCCTTTCCAGCCACTGCAGTTCCCTCTCTTTCCACCTGTCCCCAGGCAGACGGAGTGTGATGATTCATCTAGGACAAGTTGCTGTGGGAGCAAGGAGG